TTAACTACTTACTTTGTAACATTTGGCCATTTAAAAGTTAAATCGAGTATCCAATGTAAAAATAATACAATCTCTACAGAGACACCTCCTCCGCTTGTTGTTACAGAGCCAGCCATCCATTGGTTTGTTCTCCGCCTCCGTTTATGTTGGTTTAGCTACTACCAACATAAACTTAGGCTTGGGCTTGGAGAAAAGTCTATTTCCCCTCCCACTGGGTCAAGACTTCCAGCTACACTCCGGCTGGGAGATAATTCAAACCCCCCTCCAATTCCCATCAGAATTCCTGCCTCACAACGCCTAGGATCACCGCAAGGTTTGGAATCTCTCGAGGAAGTAGCAGAACCAATGCAAGTCAAAAGAAAACCGGGGCGTCCCCCTGGGATTAAAAAAACACAAATACAAGGAACTTCCTCTATATCAAAAGATGGGACCACTAAAAGGAGAAAGGTGTTGTCTTCAAAACCAACGAGCTGTAAGAGGAAAACTCATACCGAGGATTCTCGGAAGGGCCAAAGGAAGAGGAACGAAGGTTCATCCAGACCAGTGGCCTCTTCAGGCACCCATTCCTCAGACAACCTCCCTCTCAGTAGGATGATAACAAAGTCGGCTAGGAAAAAGGCGGGTTTTCACATCCCGTCAGATCCAATTCCTTAGCTATAGCGAGCTGGAACTGTCAGGGGTTGGGGAATCCCCGGACAGTTCGACGTCTTAAGGAGATTACGAAGAATCACCGTCCTGATATCTTCTTTCTTATAGAGACCAAAAATCCCAATGAAGTGGTACTTCAAAAATGTGATCAGCTAGGATATGAAGAGCATCATCTTGTTCCTCCGACAGGACATGGGGCTGGAGGCTTGGCTTTATTCTGGTCTCAGAATGTTAATCTCTCTGTTTTGTATTCAGACTCAAATGTTGTTGAAACAAGAATTGAATATCAAGGAAAAGTTTTCTATGCTAGTTTTGTCTATGGCAACACAGATAGAAAAAAGCGCAAATTGCAATGGGAGCAGCTCCTGCAAACAGCAGAGATTCGAGATGCACCTTGGTTCTTAACCGGGGATCTTAATGATTTACTCAAAAGCGATGAAAAGGTTGGTGGCCCAGATAGAGCTGAGGGATCTTTCTCTGACCTTAGGACTTTCTTTGCTGAAGGAGATCTTTATGATCTTCACCATTCCGGAGACCCGTTATCGTGGCGAGGTCAAAGGGGAGATCACCTTGTAAGGTGTAGGCTTGACAGGGCTGTTGCAAATAGTTCATGGGCGGAGCTGTATCCGTCGGCAAGATCTCAGTACCTTGACTTTGAAGGATCGGATCATAAACCACTTCTATCCTTCTTTGACCCATCTAGCTCGAGGAGAAAGGGCTTATTTCGATATGACCGCCGGCTCAATTCAAATGAGGAAGCAAAACAGGTCATCAGGGATTCATGGACTAACTCTCATGAGAGTAATATCCTGGACAGACTAGCAACAACTAGAAGTGCGATTGCAGCCTGGAACAAACTTCAACAGAGGAATAGTAAAGAACTCATAGAGCAGAAAAAGTTTGAACTGGAGAAAGCCCTCACCAGCCCTGAAAATGACACAGCGCTAATCAAGGAAATTAATGATGCTCTCAACAAGGCATATTTGGCGGAGGAAGCTTTTTGGAAGCAACGTAGTCGCCTTCTATGGCTGCAACTAGGGGATAGAAATTCTGGTTTTTTCCACGCAACAACTAAGAATAGGCGCAGGGCGAATGCCTTCTCTGTACTCGAAGATGCAGAGGGAAACATGATTTACAAAGAAGATGAGATAGCATCGACAGTAGTGCATTACTTTGAGCAAATGTTCACTTCGACGCAGAGGGCCAGTACCAGTATCGTATTTGAGGCACTCCATCCTATCGTTTCGGACGAAGATAATGATCTCCTGATTGCAATACCCACGGCGGAAGAGATAAAGGAGGCTGTCTTTGCAGTAAATGGAGAGAAAGCACCGGGCCCGGACGGATTCTCCGCAAGCTTTTTTCATACACACTGGTCAGAGATAGGGTCAGACATTGTTCAGGAAGTACAAGAGGCGTTCAGAACTGGAAAGCTCCCACAAAATATCAACGCCACACACGTATGTCTTATCCCGAAAATAAAGAGTCCTCAACGGGTTTCTGATTATCGGCCGATAGCACTTTGTAACGTATATTACAAAGTTTATTCAAAGATCCTGCAAAAAAGACTTCAGCCGCTGCTTGGGAAACTCATCTCCGAAAATCAATCGGCTTTTGTGCCGGGGAGAGCCATTGGTGACAACATTCTAATTACACATGAAGTGCTCCATACTTTGAAGACGTCTAAAGCGGAGAAGAGAGTGGCAATGGCAGTCAAGACGGACATGTCCAAAGCATATGATCGCCTTGAATGGAACTTCATCTCTTCAGTGCTAGAGAGACTCGGGTTTCACCATCTTTGGATTGGTTTAATCATGCAGTGTATCTCTACGGTTACATACTCCTTCCTCATCAACGGTTCGCCTAGAGGAATGATTTCACCGAGCCGTGGGATCCGCCAAGGCGATCCCCTCTCACCTTACATATTTATTCTATGTAGTGAGGTGCTCTCGGGACTTTGTAACAAAGCACAAGAGGAGGGAAGGATGCGTGGTTTCCAAGTTTCTAGGGGGAGTCCCCGTTTAAACCATCTCTTATTTGCGGACGATACTATGTTTTTTCTTGATGCGGATAGAGGCAGTACCGCAGCCCTCAAGGAAATTCTAAGTAAATATGAAGAGGCCTCGGGACAGCTAATTAACAAGGAAAAATCCTCCATTACGTTTTCTCGAAGGACGCCTCAGGAGCTAAAGCAAAGAGTTCACACTGAGTTGCAAGTTCTTAAAGAAGGGGGTGTGGGTAAATATCTTGGCTTGCCCGAGCAGTTTGGGCGACGCAAGAGAGACATCTTTGCATCGATAGTCGAAAAGATTAAGCAAAAAGCGACTGGGTGGTCAAATAGATACCTTTCTCCGGCAGGCAAACTAGTTATGCTGCAGAGCGTTCTCACGCCAATCCCTTCACACACAATGTCTTGCTTTAGATTGCCAATATCTCTGTGTCAGCAGATTGAATCAGCGCTGAAACGCTTTTGGTGGGATGATAGATCGGGAAAGAGGAAAATGGCCTGGATATCTTGGGATAAATTAACTCTGCCAAAGTGTCATGGAGGACTTGGAGTGAGAGATATTCAAGCTTTTAATGAAGCGTTCCTTGCTAAGATTAGTTGCAGGTTATTGGAAAATCCCAATGGGATTCTAGGAAGAACGCTGCTCAACAAATACTGTCCAGAAGGAAACCTTTTATCATGTTCTGCGCCTTCTGCTGCATCACATGGCTGGAACAGTATCCTTGCGGGGAGAGATCTACTGATCAAGAACCTTGGCTGGGTAATAGGAGACGGGACATCTATCAATATCTGGGATGATCAATGGTTGAGTCTCCACACACCAACAAGACCGATGGGACCTGCACCGAGAGACACGATCAATTTAACAGTTAAGGACCTCTTACTACCAGATTCTGGAGAGTGGAACAGAACTCGAATCAAGGAGGTGTTACCGTTCCATGAAGAGCAGATTTTGTGTCTACAGCCGAGCACAAAGGGAGTCCCAGATGTTCGAAGGTGGCTAGGAACCAAAACAGGGCAGTATTCCGTCAAATCGGGTTACCATGTAGCTATGGCGGAGTTTGCAGAAGGTATCCTTGAGGGAGAAGCTACAGCGGAATTCGATTGGAAGAAGACAGTTTGGAATCTCGATTTAGCTCCAAAAATAAAACTGTTTTCGTGGAAGTGTTTGAAAGGCATCTTACCAGTGGGAGAAAGACTCCTGCAACGACATCTCAATGCTGATCCTAGATGTAAGAGATGCAATGGCTCAGAATCTGTTAATCATCTATTGTTCTACTGTCCATTCTCTCGGGAAGTTTGGAAACTTGCTCCTTTCAGTGAAGACTTTAGAGTTAGTGGATTAACAGATTTACGAGCAGACTGGTCAACCCTGCAGTCTCAAAAATGCCTTCCTCCGCCTGGAGTTTCAGACACGCCATTAGTTCCGTGGATCTTCTGGTCGATTTGGAAAGCAAGAAACAGATTTGTTTTTGAAAATTTCGCTGGGAATCCAACTGAGGTTTTGACTCAGGCTATTTTAGCTGCGAAAGAATGGGAAGAGGCGCAGAAACGAGTGGAGAAAATTACTCAGCCTCACCCTTGTAAGCCACCATCGCTAAGGTTGGAAGTGGTGGTTCAATCTGATGCAGCCTGGGAGGAGAATTCCAGAAATGCGGGCTTAGCTTGGATTTTGAAGAAACAGCAACAGATCACCAAAGGACAGCGAGGTGCTAGCTTCATATCCTCGGTTTTAATTGCAGAGGGACTTGCGCTAAGGGATGCGGTGGAAGCATGCAGTGAACAAGGTGTTTTAAGTGTGACCTTTGAATCAGATTCGATGCAGTTAATCTCAGCAATCAACGGCAACTCCCCTCCTCTTGAAATCTATGGAATTGTCAAAGATATTCAGTTTTTAGTCTCTAATTTTGTTGCTGCTGTGTTTGTGTGGATTCCACGAGAGAAAAATGTGGAAGCAGATTTGCTTGCCAAGAGTTGTTTGGCTTTGTATGAACAAGAGGTGGTTGAGGAACACTTATTTCCCCCACCTAACTAGTTGGAGATGAATGAATGATATGTTGTGACAAAAAAAAAAGCTACTACCAAAGCCTACTAGAGTTTATCATCCATCTATATTGTCCGTAGGTTCTCTAATATCTATGCTAAAGAGTACTTGTAGCTTTATTTTTGGGGCTTACCTGAACAACATGATGTAATCCATGCCTTAAACTAGAATAATGGGCATGGCATTCATGCGTATGTTTCTCCGTTGACTTTGCATCTCTATCCAACTTAACATTTTTATACAGTCTCTATTGCCGACTCTTTCTTGGCATTTTTAAACATATATTCCACAGTCCAAACTCTAAAGATGTATTTGATCAACGAGCAAAGTGGTGATATACTCCTTGAACATGCCTTCGCGGTGGTTGTAGACATCGTCAGAGGTATATAGAACATCCAATGAGCGTCCGTAATTGATGACTTGGGTAAGAACTCGACGAGAGATGTGGGTTGTCTTCAAGCATTCCTCGTTAACGATCTTGTTGATATCTGTAATCATCTTATCAAACTCTTTTATACCTTCTTCTTTGGTCACTCCATGTTGTTTTATATAATAGTTGAGTGCGTTTGCAGTGTAACCTTTACCAATATCCTCCTGAATATATAAAACAGCAATCTAATTATGACTTATGAGCTGGATATATTAGCCAAACTTAAATTAAATCCAATGATGTTTACAGAAGGGAATTAAACTGTTTCTGTGTTCAAATTGATTTTTTTTTTTACATACACATTTTATTAAACATCGAACTGAAATCAAACTGATTCTTAATTAGTCAGGAAGAATCAAAATTTCGACATAAACCTAAGAAATTTTTTCCAGTTGTTAATTTCGAAACTGTTTTAGTAACTACTTTATAGTCTTGTATATTTGTTTTTCCTAACCTAAAAGAAAAAAAAACAACTGAACAAACAAGGTAAAGAGACCCAGATCGACCAAAAAACGAAAGTCCAACGTTAACTCTAAACGAACAAACAAGATCAAAGATCGACCAAAACAAACTCAAATGAGGATCAGCTATGATTTGAATATTGAAAACTAATACCTCATAGTCGGTCATGTCATCCATGAGACGGGTCTTTGCGGCTAAAACTTGGACGACCTTTGGTCTAGATCTTAGCCACTCAAAATCTTTCTTCTTACCAATATCTCCAAGTCCCATAATTGAGCAAGTTATGGTTGCATACGAACCAATCTCAGCTCCACCAGCCTCTATGTACTCATCAAAGCTAGGCATGTAATCTCCTCGTGCCCATTTGATAAGTTGGAGGTTTGTCCTCACAAGTATCTTGAACTAATCACAACAATATCAACTGTTACCAGCAGCCAGTTTACGTGAAAATATTAATTATTTAATTTTTAAAAGTAAACACCTCTTCTATCATTTCCTCCAAGACAAATAATCTTCCTTGTGACTTCAATATATCTTCATACTCTTTATAAACACTCATTACAAATTTGAAGGCCGTCTTTAAGTGACCTTGAAGTTGTCCTATGTATTCAGGGTCCCATCTATTCATAGAAGAATACAATTGTCCGCTTGTTAGTAGCTAGCTTACTGATATATAATATGATGCAATCTCATAAATTTTTAGGATATATATATAACGAATGTACCTTTCTATACAATCAACCAGATTCATAACTTCGTCAATAGAAGCATATGTATCGCAAGCATCATCTAGAAATGTTATTGCTAGGTATAATTTAGCCGACATAATTCTCCCAAGTGAAAACTGTGGCTCAAAGTACATCATCAATGCCGCTAGCCAAGTCTCCATGGTTCTTTCTCTAAAATTAGGCGGGAAATCTGATGTATGATCTAGTCCCCTCCACCACCTGCCAGAAAAATATGTTCAAAATGTTAAAATATGAAATCACAAAGAAAACTTGCTAAAACTAGATGAATATATATACATGGTGATTGTTTTTAGTTCTTGGATGTAATGAAGCTGCAAGTACTTGAAATTGAGCTTTGCTAGCTTGAGTAGCGTGTCATTGTGGTCCTCTTCTTGTTCATAATATGAAATATATTCCCTTGCAACCAGTGCTTCAATGTTCTGGTGTTGAGGTATGTGAAGAGCTTTTTGTATAAGCCTTGAAATGTGTGCTGGACTTGCTAATTTACCTGTAGCTATTTGCTCCAAGTGGCTCAATGTAAAGCTCAATGCTTCATCCAAGATATAATCCGTTGTTGTTCTGAAGTGCAGTGCTTCATAAAAGCTTAGCATACCTTTCAAGTCCTTTATTATATATCCCTTGAACTTCTCATCATCTTCTTTGAATCTTTTGAACACATCTACTTGAAAACAACCGTGCTGTTACACTTCTCGATTACTTTTTAGGGGCAAGCACAATAGACTGATATTTCAATTGGTGGTTTTCAACCTTTATGAAACATTTAGCTTCAAAATAAAATAAATTAAAAACTAATTACTAGTTCAGTTGAATTATTTTTTCCTATCAAAATAAATCATGTATACTTCTTGATTTATATATATGTAATATAATATTTTCATCAAGGCGGCTAAATCAAATGAGAACTAAGCAACACAAAACATTTAATTATATGACATGTCCAAGTTTCTTACCCGATGACATGTTGTGACCATATGTTCTGAAAACTCGAAACATGATAGAAATCATGTACAAGTCATTCTCATCCGCGATCAAGTCCGCTATCTTCTCGAAAGCAACTTTCACTATGTGTTCAATCTCATTCTCGAAATGATAGGCCAGACCAAGACTGACTAGAAAATGGATTACAAGAATTTTCCTCTTTATCATCGCCTCGTCATCATCTTGAGAATACAAAATAATCTCGTCGATCACTTTAAGTTTCAGTACCTTAATTTCCTTTGCAAGAGCATCAAGATCCTAATAGTTAACACAACTCATAGATCGTTAAGCAAGCATGTAACGTACAACGAATTATGCACAGATGTATATTTGTACTCACCAAGTCAGTGACGGTCACTGTGAGGAAGTGATCACCCCATTTAGAGGGTGGCAATTTTGTAAAATCAAAACCAATTTCATGATCAACTTTTCTTTTTGCTTCCATACAATTCAAGAATGATAAAGAGAAAGGTAGTGGTGGAAGAACAAAAGAAGAGCACTAAAATACACAGATGTAGCGAATGATCAATCGATTAGTTTTAGTAAGCAAATATATAGACCAGAGACCGATATATAGACCAGAAACCACGGATGTGGTAGTCCAGTTGATTTAAGCATAGATGTTGGTATTGTTGAATTCCTGAATTCAATTACCGTAGAAAACATATTTACGTCATGGACCTTGTCCTCATGGTATCAGTGTGTGCGGGGTCGGGAAAATTATGAGCTTTGTCACCGAACCTTCAATAATCAAAAAAAAAATATATATATATATATATATACCAGAGAAAACTTTGAAATACATTACTCAGAAAGTAAAACTATAAAGAAAATATAAGGTGCTTGTCTAACAGTAATAGGCTATAGCATATCTATCTGCAAAGTTATTAATAAAATTAATTAATTTGGGCAATTCAGTAAACTACTCCCTCTGTTTCTAAATAAGTGTCACTTTAGCCTTTTAATTTTGTTTCAAAAAAGTGTCATTCTACAATCCCAATGTAATTTTGTACATTAAATCTATTTTTTTACCCTTTTGAATAACCAATAGTATTTTACTTAAATTATTTTCATTTAATTAAACATACATTAAATAGAGATATATTAGTCTATTATACAATTTTCTTAATTTATGTGCAAAGAGTCAAAATAACACTTATTTAAAAACAGAGGGAATATTAAACAAATTAAATAAAGTACGCTGAAAACTTTTAAGATCCACTACTAATATCTTGGTGAATTTTCTGGAAAAAAATAGCTGCCGACGGTTCATATATTGTATTATTATACTATTGTGTTCCACTACTAATATACTAGAGAAAATAAAATTCAAAGTTTATTATGTAGGGTTGCTTCTAAGTGTATACTCTCTGTTTTTAATGTATACTAGATTTTGACCCGCGTTTAAAAGCGCAAAATTTTTTATGATTAAAATTTATATAATTGGGTTTTCTCTTAATTTAAAGAATGTTTTGGTATAAAATTAGTTTACCAAAATTTGTGGTGATAGTTGTTTTTCATTAGTTTTAGTTTCAGTTTTTATTTTTAGATTTTATTTTAATTTTTAAGTTTCCATTTTTGATTTTCAGCTTTTGCTTTGATTTTTTTAATTTTTAGACCCGCTGAGTTAGTTTGAACTGATATTACCAACACACAAATCTCAATTAATCGAACATGTAATTTAAAACTGAAAAGATGACAAAATAATTTTCTAAAAATTTTGAAATACTTTATTTTGTAAATAAAAAAAAAAAAATATATATATATATATATATATATATATAACCTGCGTTTTCAGCTTTTGGTTTTGGATTTTAGTTTATAGATTTGATTTTTGGTTTTGCTTTACATTTTTTTTTAAATCTGTAAATTATTTAAGAAAAATAAAACAATAAACTATTTAAAAGTTACCATTAAAATTTATCAAGATGGAGTGATTGTTATTTAAAATAAAAAATATTAATATGTTTTAAAGTACATGATTTAAATAAGTGATTAATAATAGATAATTTTGTTTTGTTGAAAATATTAAATATTTTTGTGCCTAAAAATAGTAATTGATTTTTGATCCATTAAGGTGGAAAGTTTATTTAATTTTTTTGGAGTTTTTCTTTAATACTAAGCCCAAAAACCAAACAATTAAAAGTCATAAAAACAAAAGTAAGCCCAAAACGCTATTTCATAAATAATTGCCGGTTTAATTTAAGTAATGTGGTTTAATCAACTATATAACTTGTATTATTTGTAATACTCTAGAAATGGTCCAAATTTAAATGACAACTTGTATCAGTAGATAAAAAGAATGACTCTATTTTAATAGAATAGAAGTTATTTTAGAGACATTTTTGTTTTATAACATGAGCTAGATTCTTATTCATGATTTTAATGCATACAATTATTTTTTTTTTATAAAAAAATCTTCTTCTTATTTTGGTGGATTGGTTTTGTTCATTTCATCTGTAAATAGTTAGAATTTTAGATGTTTTTACAATTGGAAATAACTAATTCATTCATCCTACCAGTCAACGTGAATCATTATTTGTTTTCATACTTTTTTATGATTGAAATAAAATATTTATTTAATTTGTGCGTTATCAAAATCCAATCTAACTATTATTTTCATTTTATTTTAATGTAATGTAAATATATATTTAATTAATTTAAAATCTCGATTTAAACATTTTACAAAGATTTATTTTACAAGTAAAAGGAAATATATATATATATATAAAAAATAAAGAAATATATTATTTTGGATTAATTATTAGAAGTGGATTGGATAATATTATCACTAATGAGTCTCTAAAAAAAACTAAACTTCTAGTGCCCTAAATCGCAAATAACATGTTATCTAAATGTTTGTTTAAATAAAACAGATTACCTACAAAAAATTAACTGAAAGTTATTTCATTAACTATTAAAAAATATTTTATATTTATAATTTTAACCCAAAATTTTAATAAATTAAAACAGATGAAGTATATAATACTCCCTCCACTAAAAGATTCAAAGAAGATGATGAGAAGTTCAAGGTATCCTTTATTAGATATCCCTTGAACTTCTGATCATCTTCTTTGAATCTTTTGAACACATCTACTTGAAAACAACCGTGTTGTTACACTTCTCGATTACTTTTAGGGCTAAGCAAAATAGACTGGTATTTCAATTGGTGATTTTTAACCTTTATGAAACATTTAGCTTCAAAATAAAATAAATAAAAAACTAATTCTAATTCTAGTTCAGTTGAATTATTTTTCCTATCAAAATAAATCATGTATACTTCTTGATTTATATATATGTAATATAATATTTTCATCAAGGCGGCTAAATCAAATGAGAAACAAGCAACACAGCTTTTAATTATATACTAGATCTCGACCCGCACAACCGTGCGGGTTTTCTTTTTATTTATAATTTATAAAAAAAATTATTAATAAATAATAATATATTTACTTATAAAATCGTGCAAAATATTAAAATAATAGATGTAAAAGTATCATTTTTAAACATAACAAAAAATATAAATTATCACTAACAAATATTTATCTATAGTGTATCTAAA